AACCCGCAAACCCGTAAACCCTAAACCCGAAACCCTAAACCCGAAACCCGAAACCCTAAACCCCAAATCCTAAACCCCTAAACTCTAAACCCGAAACCCTAAACCCCAAACCCGAAACTCGAAGTTGGAAGAACAACCGGTCCCAACGCCCTGAAGCGGAAAGCAGAGGCCGCGGGGCCGGATGTTGAGCTCCCGAAGCGGCTGCTGCGTGTTTCCTTTAGGGTTTAGGGTTTAGGATTTAGGGGTCTAGGGGCTTAGGGGTTCAGGGGTTTAGGGGTTTAGCGTTTAGGGTTGAGGGGTTTTGGGTTTAGGGTTTTTTGGGCGTGGGTTTGCGTCGTGGTTGTCAAGGGTATGATGGTTTTGTGACTCCGGCATGTGTGACGGCTTACGATGTGTTTAGAGCTTAGGGTTTATTTCGTGGTAGTTTGGTCTTTATCGGCTTGCTTTGCTGGTGGTTAAAGGATATGTCAAAGGCCTCTTAAGATGTTGATGTGTGAGAAAGCTTTTGTGCCTCACGGCTTCTTTGCACACTTCGGGTTTAGTGTTGAGGGCAGGGTTTGCTGGTTAGGGATTTAGGTGCGTTAGGGATGGGGGGTCAAGGTTTGTCGGCGAGTGGGGACCAGGAAATGGTCGAAACCATTAGTACTACCAGTAGACCAATAATAGTAATAGCAACAATAATAGTGACAGTAATAGTAGTAACAGTAGTAGTAGTAGTAACAACAATAATAGTAATAATAGTAATCGTAATAATGTAATAACGATAGTACTAATAAGAATAGGATCGGGGGTTCAGTCTGCCATGGCCAGGGCAGGGCATGGTTTCGTGGCTCAGGGTGTGACGGCTTTAAGGCTTCCGGATATCGTACTCATGTAGGGGCCTTACTAATTCGAACAGGATCTTGGGGTTCCTTGTTCTTTTTATAGTATAATATACACCCAAACCCTATTCTAATAATTAAAGCCCCTATATTACCGTGGTGTCCATGGAGGGGTTATGGCATCAGAATTGAAGCTTTTCCTATTGTCGGGTCGAGCTCGAACTACACAGTGCCCGAAACTCCCAACGCTTAGCTGCAGCTCTATTCCCAAGCCCCCTGAGTTCCACAGGTCCTTCCCCAACCACGAAGCACTCGACGTATATTGACAAAAGCAAACCGCAGCAATCACCCCGCACCCTCAACCCTAAAACCTAAACCCGAAAACCTCAAACCCAAACCCTCAAACCCAAAGTCATAAGCCCTAAGCCCTCAAACCCTCAGACCCTAAACTCTAAAGCTGTGAACCCTAAAGACCACCCAAAGACCCGAAGATACGAGCCCCGACATCTCGACCCTAAACCCGTAAACCCTATTTAAACCCGACACCCCAAACCCCTAAACCCCTAAACCCTAAACCCTAAACCCCAAACCCTAAACCCCCTAAACCCTAGACCTTAAACCCCCTAAACTCTAAACCCGAAATCCTAAACTCCAAATCACTAAACCCCTAAACCCCTAAACCCTAAATCCTAAACCTAAAGCCAAGATGCCAATGAGCACATCGCCGCTCCCTGGATCGTAGAAACGCTGCAGCAATGCCTTGGTCTTCAGGACCTAAAAAGGTGGTTTAGGCTTTAGAGGTTTAAGGGTTTAGGGGTTTGGAGAGTAGCGGTTTAGGGGTTTTGGGTTTAGGGCTGAGTGTTTCGGATTTAGGGTTTAGGCTTAGGGTTTCGGGTTTAGTTTTTGGCATTTAGGGTTTAGGGTTTAGGGTAGGGATAGTAAAGGTCTAATGTAGGTGCCTTTTCATAATCAATATCGGGTTTCGGGCTCGTTTATGGTGTCATTATAAAATATAATGGTAGTTCTTGAGGCTTCTATACTAATATTGGGATAGTCATGGGTTTTCGGGTAGAGTTTCGTGTTCAATCTTATAGAGACCATGGGGCAGGCGGTATGCTATGTACCTCTATGTTATTGTTATTGTAGGCCGCTTGTTGAGGGTTCAAGCGCTTTGGGCTTTGGGATTTAAGGTTTGCTTTAGTTGGACATGGAATACAGCCGATGTCTGACCGGAACACTTGGCAGGTACATGAAAAAGGCTTTCGGCTGTCGGTCGGGGGCATCATTTGATCGATGCGCTGCGAAAATTAAGGGCCTTCATCTCTCACTCCCACGTCCCTCGATCCAACCTGCATTCAACCATCGGAATAAGCGAGCCGCAGAAGCCTTCCCCGAGTCCACAATCCCCAAATCGAAAAGCCCGAAGACCCTAACAATTGAACCCTGGAGATTAAAACCCAAGCGCCCAAATCCCAAGACCCGAAAAAAAACAACCTCAAAAGGCAAGACACCCTATCTAGGGGCCCTTTCTTTCTCAGGGTAAACCCTACCTACACCCGAAACTCCAAATTCTCGAGGCCCCATCATGAGCGAACCTGCTCCTCAGGTCCCCCACCCATAAAACTCCAAAGACCCGTAGTTAATCACGTTAAGAATCCGTCTGCAATCTAAGCGGCATATCACCCATACCGTCCTAAAATAAAGGCCCCAGAAGAACCCTGCCAACCCCATGGCTCAGAGTGGATTCCGTAGCTAAGTTGTTTCTTCGTTTCTGGCCGAATCCTAAACCCTTAACCCGAAACCCTAAACCCTAAACCCTAATGAATGTCAACCACGGAGCCATGACAGTGCTCTTGCCGCCTCCAGACGGGCCGACCAGACCGGCTGACCTTGGGTCGTAATAAGATTGGCTCCCTAAAAGGCTCCTTTAAAGGGAGGTTTAGGGGCAACTATTATAGAAGGGATATGAGACGGGGTTGAATCGAATAGGGTCTAGGGGTATGTACTAATGCCAGCCACGAGGAACGATTAAAAAACACATGCGTGCTTTGTGGCTGAGTGTCTCGAAATGAAAGACCCGATCCCGAAAAAAAATATTATGTAACATACCAAGATGAAACCAAGAAGCTTTCCTGCCTCCAGCACGAAAGAAATGCCTTTCAGCACCTGTCTTCTTCACTCGGTCAGGGTCTAGCTTGTGCCATCTTCTGTTGAACCCTAGACAGGGTGTCGCTTTCAGCAGCTCCCCACGTCTTTATAGTTAGGGCTCTGTATGAAACCAAGAAGGAACTGCAAAATTATCCCATATCGGTACTTGGGGAACCATGAACCTTTAGCGCTCAACCTGAAACCGTACATCGCGAGCCCGTGAGCTTCGAGAGCCGCAGGCCTGAAGCGGAGACCCCAAACTCCCCAAAACTTGAAACCGATTTGGGGCTTAAGGCTTTATGACGGTGTAAGGCCTTAGGGATTGAGGTTTTAAGGTTTTTGTCTCAAGTTAAAGTTGAAGATTTTGTTTAAGAAGAATTATGTTTCGGTGTCAGTTTCAGAAAATGAGGCATCCTGATATAGACCCTACAGATCAGGATCCTTTACAAAAGTGGGGCGTGGTGCCTCGGAATCTCCTGTTGGGGGCCGTTAGCAAGGACCAATCCTGCCTGCACGTCTGGCCGGAACGGATAGGCAAACTGCACATTCCGGAACCTTATGGCTTTAGTTCGAGGGCTTCGGTTGCAGGGCTGAAGGCTTGTGCCTCCTCGAGATGGCACCCACATGTGCTTATGTTGTATCATGCATGTGATAGCACACTCCATCACATTGTAGTGTAGTATACTATTGTGGTATAACGGTACAATGCTGTAGTATCGTATAGTTCATTAAAATATAGACTAGTACAACATAGTGTACTGTAGTATTGTAGTACATGTCGGATGTATTTCTGTACTTGTTTGGTTAATTGAATATGACTATTGCGGCAAGTAGTGTGTTGGTTCGTTCACGAGCAAGCTTACAGCTAGTTCGCAGGGTAGCTCGATCGGTGAGTAGCTGGGAGCTAGACAGCCAGATGGTTGGATAGCTAGCTAGTTAGTTAGTTACTTGCTCACTTAGTTACGTTATTTCTTAGTTACTCAGCTACTTAGCTATGTAATCAGCAAGTTAGCTCGTTGGCAAGCCGACTAGCTAGTTAGCTAGCTAGCTGTTTAGTTAGTTCATTAGTTATCTGTCTCCATTGTTAAAGGGGAGGACGGCATATCAAGTTCTCTGAGCAGAGTGCTCACTTAAGCAGACTTTGTCCGCCACTCAGCTGCGAGAGAGAGAGGGTTATCTGTCTGTCTGCTTGATCGTTTGGTTGGATGGTTGGTCGGTTGGTCGGTTGGCCGGTTGGTCGGTAGGTTGGTTAGCTAACGAAC